AGGAAAACACAGAATAGTTTCCAAAAGAAGAAACAGACTTGAAGGGGGTAGTAGCAAACAATGAGTGTCCCCTACAGTCCACCCCTTTAGTTGTCTACCATGTATAATGTCCACTTTTATATAAAATACACTTCCCTCCCATTATCGCAAATGAGGCATCCCAAGTCTCACCCAGTTAACACATTCAGCTCCAAAATCAGGATCTCCAGGAGTTCTTGATCAGTCTGGCAACCCAGGACTAAATGACAAATACTCGATATGGTAGAGTGGCAAGAGAACAGGAAAATCACAACAACTCCCATTGTGAAAAGCAGAGTAGGATATGGATGAGGAGCACGTATCCTTGGAGAGGAGAAGCCAAGCCCCCATCCAGACAGTGGAGTGGGTACCTTGGTCAACCACCCTCATCTCCGTGTCTTCTCTCTGGGAGACTCCTATTTCTGTAGTACTCCATGGCCACCTGAGTTGTCCACTAGTGAGGGTGTCCTTCCTGTGGGCAGGTCCCTTTAGCAGCTAGTGACTCTCAGCTTGGGGCTGTGTGGGGCCTGAGAATATCCTCATAGATTGAATAATCACCACTCTTGGCTTTTTATGCTTGGAGTTAAGGTGATGTTACAATTCTCTAACAAACTTATTTGGGTTTCAAAATTTCATGCCCTGTTGGTTCTGGCTAATAATCAAAACCATCCAATCAGCAACAGCAACAAAACAAAAATGTCAGCTGATAGTACGTGTTGGGATCCAGAACTGGGCTGTCTGTTTCCTAGCAACAGATTCAGCACTCCACTCATCCCTCATCCTTGATTCCCATCTTGGTCTGTCTCTCCAGGCACTGGAAGCAGTAGCACGAATGGAGTTGCACCACCCTGCTTCTGCGCCTGTCTCCAGGCTGCATCCAACTGCCCCCCATTCTCAGACACGAGTGCTCATCAGGAGATGTGTGCGGGGTCTGGGCGATCACACTTCTTGAAGACCTGGTCTTATCTCTTCAACGGTTCCCACCTCCTGCCTCCCCTCCCTCTGCCTGTAACCTGGGGTAGAGAATTGGTCTTCTTCAGTCTCACTGGGTTGAAGACTGTCAACCATTTTGGATTATAAATCATAAGCACCGATGTCTTCTGTTGTGGATTGAATTGTGTCCCCCCAGAATATGTGTTGGAATCCTCATGCCTATACCTGTGCAATGGACTCCAACATAACAGTGATTGTGAGGATGGAGCAGGACTAGGCAGTCTTTCATTCTGTTGTACATGGGGTGGATATGAGTCAGAGCCAACTTGACAGCACCTAACGACAACAAACAACATACCCGTGCCTGTAATCCCCTTTAGGAATCAAGTTTTCTTTGTTATGCTAATGAGAACGTACAGTGTAGGGTATGTCTTAAACCTAATCACTTCTGGGGAAATAGGGGAAAGGTAGATGCCACATGGAGATGGCCAAGGAATCGAGGAACGAAAGCTGAAAGAGACAAAGATTTTTCCCCCAGAGATGATAGACAGTCTTCTCCTAGAGCTGGTGCCCTAAATTTGAACTTCTGGCCTCCTAAACTGTGAGAAAATAAATGGCTGTTCTTTAAAGCCACCCACTTGTGGTATTTCTGTTACAGCAGC